TCTCAAGTCCTTTGAATACTGGTGAAGGTCCAATTGCTAGACCATTGCTTGGGTGCTACACATATATATTATACCTCTATAAAGGCAAAAGATTATCAAAGTCAATCTTATAAGTACATATATGATAGATACGAGATAAACCGCAAAGAACAATGAAGAATGAAACATTGTTTATTTCACGATAAGACATTGTTCTATCATGATGTCATTTCTGGAGATTCGAACATACGCTCGCAACTTGATGACATGGTAAATCCCTCTTTCAGTCTTTACAAAATAAAGAATATATCACCACAAGTAACATATGTAGTTTCCATGCTATTTGAAAAATCATGCTCCACTGGGAAATGGCGCTGATGGACCTGAGGAATGTTCCATGACAATAACTGTGTTCTGTATCATGGGGTCCTCTTTGGTTCTGTGGAATTCCACATATCTGATGTGCCAGTATTGTGGTTTAAAAATTCAGCTGATAATGTTCCTGATTTAGTCCTAAAATAAATCTTCTATCTTTCGATATCATCACATTGTTCAGCTAGCATTATCATCCATTGTATACCAGCCATGGAAATTACACTGAAACATTTACTAACCCAGTAGCAGTGTTTTGCTTGTTTTTATAAGATTATTGGACAGGTTACCAAGAACAAAGACACTGTCGTACACCCATGGTGACACAAAACTGTTTGATGACCTGAGAAGCACTATATCTTGTGCCCAATTAAATTGTTTGTTATATATTGGTATGTCATTGTTTCCGCCCTTGAGCAGTGAACCTAACATGACTATAAACTCCAATATGTCCAGATTTAAATATGTCACTTTATCAATGTGAGCATTAATTTCATACTCATATTAATTTCATGATTAGCAGTATTTGATAATCAAAAAAGTTTAATTTAAGCACAAATTTTGAGGGGCCCTTATTATAATCCTATTGTAAAGATGTGTAAAAAAATGGGGATCCATAGATTCTTATAGTTAAGGAGCAAAATTCCTGGACCCCCGGATCTGCTTTAGCTTTGGAACACTGGTTCAGTCTACCGGTATGCTACATACATTTGAATCTACAACTCTAAACTTGTATTTAGGCATTAGATTAGTCTCAGTATAAAGAAGCAACTTTACTAGACTCAGGCTTTGGATTAGTGGCTAAAATCGCAGACAGTAGTTTTATCTTCTGATAATCTCAGATTGATTAACTGGCAAATACTAGTTATCTGTAAGAACGATCACAGTTTGTACTACCCTTGCAAACAGGCTGCCTGCTCTAGTGACTTTCTATTGGAGTAAACATTTTGTACAATTGTAAGACATGTATGTCACATTAGATCAGGCATTTGACAAGTGATCTCTGTATAGTGACACACAGTCTGAGGTCACAGTACGGGTGTGGTGATACGTATGACAGAAAATGACTTACGATAGGTTTTATTTGCTACCACACGCACACATGCAATGCTTGAAGTACTCGGAGCAAGCACTCAGACATCTTTGACACAAGTCAAGCAAATAATGTACTACTTGATACAGTTTTGTAGGGAAAGATAGTTTGATCAAAGCCTTAAAAGTTGTCATGATAAAAAATATTTGTTAAAAAATATAAAATCGATGTTTCACTCAAGTGAAGTACATTCTTTTTTTGTTGTTTTGTTTATTGTTTAACACCGCACTCCTCAATATTCCAGCTATATGAAGGCGGTCTGTAAATAATTGGAATAAAAGGAACTGCCTGTTTCACTTAATTTTCAACTAGCTTGAGCATATTAAGTTCCTGATTATTTCATTTTGATTTAATTTACATAAATAATGAAAACTAAGGATGAAAAGGAAAATTCTACTTGTTGTCTTTTACTTGAATTTTGTTTTTAAAATGTTGGGGTGCCTGTTTAAGCTATACTCTTAATAGGGCTGCAACGATACAGGAAGGTCACGATACGATACGCATCTCGATATTCTGGTCACGATACGATACGTATCTCGATACGAAATGATAAATAAAACAAGACTTAAAGCATGTCAAGTTTGAACCTTTCATGATTTTGGAACAGTCAAAATTATTTTATAATAACAAGACTGCTGTAGTTGGAACTGTATCTAACTTTCCTTAAAAACAATTCAAAGTTCAAACACCAGAAAATAATTAATGTACTCCACCGGTGATACAACTTCAAAGAATTGTTTTATCAGGAATAATATATTCCAATATCGTGTTACCTTAGTTGCAGCTTTTACTATATATATATTTCAAATTATAAGAACCACAAGTGTAGCATTTTGGTACTGGTGATTGCTTTGCAGGATATTTTTACGTATGGAACAATTTGATCAGTCACCCTAGGGACTTCCCGTGCTACATGTATTTCGATTGCGAAAACGTTATGTTGACATATATTCGCCAAATTGCCACACATATGACTTTTAACGAGTCAAAGTATGGCATTTTTAATATATGTATCCATTCTCTAGCAACTAAAGTTCGTTTCAATGAGTCAAAAGCGGTAATCTGACCGTGGTTGCAGTATCTCTTCACACACGATTTCACGTAACTTAATGAAAACAATATTAAATGAAATTTTGAATAAAATTAATAAAATATATTACAAACACAAGTCCAGATATATAATGAACACGTTTTAATAACAAGATAGTATAATAATGGTATTGAATTGCGTACTTCAGTTCGGATTTGCTGACAGGTATTTCTGGTGTTATGTGCTTGCGGGGATCAGCTGATAATGTTTTTTGAGATGGGGAAAAACATCTGTCGGTGTAAAACCTGAGCTTATTAAAAATGTAAGTACGTTTTTAGGAGCCATGCGTTACCGCGCGCTATAACCAAGTTAGCGGTTTATTGAAAGGCACAATAGCGAGGAAACGCTTTACTTGAGATTTGCGTTCCGTATCGTGGCGTATCGATAAATGGGCCCACGTTTATCGTATATCGTATCGTGGGTCAAGTATCGCGATGCATCGGAATATCGGTGTATCGTTTCACCCTTAACTCTTAATATGGAATACATTGTCAAGATTCTGAAAATTGGGTTTTTCCACAAACCAGTGTTGTTCCCATAGCTATGACCGTCAGTCTGTTAAAGTTGTTACTGTTAGTTATGGCAGTCGTATTACTAAGATCGCTTTTTTTTAAATAGGGATCTTAGTGGTTACTTATGTACAGACACATGGATCATCATTTGGCTGACATGGACACTTTCTAGTTAAGCTTGTGTTGTCCTGTTCCAAGTTTACTACAAAATGCTTAGTCGTAATACATAAATCTGATCGATCAAGTTATAGTGATTATGGTTTGATAATCAATCGTGCTTGACAGCTTGTTTGGCTAGGTGCTGCTTGTGGTTAATTCAGACAGGTATTAATATTTTTATGCTGCATGTATTGACTCATGTATTGATATGGTGGGTATGGAAATTGATGGGCCGACACATAGCTGCGGTGAACACTAGTGTGAAATATTGGCAGTCACACTGTTGTTATATTACTGTAGACAGGTGTGATATGGCGGTGTGTCCATGTCTATCCTTGACAGATGCAGATCCAGGATTTTGAAATATTAAAGGGGTTGCACATAATACCTGAGTCTCAACATGCGCCAGGGCCCAGTTAACATGTAAGGTGTTTGAAGAAAAGCGGGGCTGCAGCCGCTGCACTCAACTCTGGCAGTGTTAGGAATTAAATGGGGTATTGTATTGTATTTTAATCTAGATACAACCAATAATTTTTCATCATTTTAACCATTGTTAACACTGACTGATAATGATCAGAGATTGAGTAAGTAAATAAATATGATTTTATTTGCATTTAGACCTATCACAGTGTTATCATGGCAGGCATGAACTATGCTAGGTGGAGGATCCCTTGAGTTCAATCCTTAATTTTTAGGGTTAGAGATTTATCAGTTATATATTCACTAGTCCTGAAAAATGATCTGCTTCAGAATTGCCATTTACCAAATGGTAAAAGTGATGTCCACAAGGAAATGTCACCAGACCTTCCTGGAATTTACTAGACTTGGACTTATGGATTTATGTTCATTTCAAACCTTGATTTTGAACACTTTGACTTTGTAGTGTATTTCTGATAAATGGATTCTACTTACAATTAATGTGTTCACTGTTCAGTGTTCATGATAATATGTTAAAAGTACAAATCAGATGGTCAGTGGGGGTGTTAAGGGTTCCCATGTACTAGTTGATATGACTAAACAGATACAAAATAAGACATTTCTTTCTCTGCACTGTTAGGTTGGTTCAATTTCTAGGATGTTGAGTGATTGTCTTCATGGTCATCCAAAATGCCCTTGCAATATTTTTCTAATTTGGTAATGATATAGAAGAATAAAAAAGTCAGCCGTTGATAAAATCATGAAACTGTCCTAATGACATTTGTCTCTGGCAATATCAGTGGGTATAAATAGCTATTTTTAAAGTTTAAGCAAATCGGCTGCCTCAACAAGGATGGTGGCTAGAAATAGATTTATTAGAACAGATTACTAATTCTTTCAATGCATGGTTAGGCAACAAGGAAAATAACATAAAAACACACTCTATAGTATGAGATTTTGGAAGTGGATATTTCACTGAAGAGATTACAGAAATCTGTGGTGTCAGTGGACTCTCATTGGCAATGTCTAATCCCGGTTTGCCACGATTATGTTTCTAGGTTTGTCAGCACCATACCCGTGCTCATTGGTTTCATCGAAGTGGTAAATGTCCTAGACCTGCATCACTTCAGGCTTTCCTCCCACATTAAGCTGACATGCCGCTATATAACTGGAATACTGGTAAAAGCGGCGTTTAACCCAACTCACTCACTCACTCACTTATTGGCAATGACACAAATTGACAAAACTGTAGTCCATAGATATATAATGTTGGCAGGCAAACTGTACCAGTGTGATGTGTTACTGTTTGATCATTATCAATAAAAGACAGCAATAAAATGACCTTGAGCCACCTCTTAGACAGCCATGAATGTTGCAGTTGATGTCCCTTGTGGAGGACCTGATGAAGGAGATGCAGACGTTGCGAGACACAAACTCCAATCTGCTGGACCGGATCAACGGTGTAAGTGTAAATAAGTATTGAACTTCAGGTTTAGTTCGTTAAAATCATTCACAAGAGAGAGAAACTCAACTGTGCTTGGGTCTCTCACGGTTTCCTGAAGTATCGAGCTTGGATTCTTTGGTAGGCATTTGGAAGTTGGAATCGTTCTCCCGTTAAAGGGGCAATAAGTAGCCCTGAAGCTTCGATACATAGCATAAAGAAGTTCCCCATAAAAAGTTTCATGTCTTCTTCATACTTTGAATTCAGAACTAAACTTCATTACCTGAAAATACAGAAGATCATCGATCCAAGCAATTTTGATGGGATCTGCATAATACTACTTAATTTTCAAGCACATTGAATTTGTACAAATGTTGCATGTTCGAAACCCTGACATTTCTGAATTTCTGATGGATATGGTCATCATGGTTATATAATGTTGAAGTGATGTGAAAAATGGTTCACAGTAATAGATTGGTAGAATAGTTTCTCACTAGTATACTAATGTTATAATTATCATGATTAAATTATATTGTCAAAAGTATGTGTGTTGAGATTATTTCTTTTCTTTGTAGTTGAATATTGATGAGCTGAACAAGAAATTAGCAGCTTTGGAAAAGGTTACGGTGAGTATTTTTATTTTATAAACAAATATGATTTATATGATAGGTGGCATGTTTGTGTGTGCTTTCATCATGTTCCTTCAACTTGAACTGTATGTTGAAAATCTGATAACTGTTAATAGTATAGGTGTTGCTGTGCCAAAGACTTTGCTAACCACTTAACCAAAAGATGTTATTTTTGTCGAGTGTAATAGTGTTAATCTATGGCCTACGTATGGATTGGTGGTGACTAGAAGGAAGGATGTTTTATGAGACAGGCTTTGGGCTAGTGGTGAAGTCAAAGACTGTGTATTTTACAGAATGATTTGAATAACAAGTTCAGCACACTGCCGACCGCTGATGACTTTGCCCAGTTTGTGACCTGGCCGCTCCTGGAGGATGCCCTGAAGGGGGTGAGGAAGGACCTGGAGGAGCTTCATGGGTCTGTCCAAGAGAAGGTTGTCACTGAGACTGGCAGCCAGACAGATAATAGAATGGTAAGCCTTTAAAATGTATTTACAGGTTTTGTGTCTTTTAATAGAATGGATCTTGGGAGCTAAAGAAGGAATACATTCTGTAATATTTCTTGTTCATGCAAATTGAAATATACCAAGGCAAGCCATTGGTCATTATTAAGTTTATGTTTTATTGACATGCCTGCCTCAGATGCTTGTCTTTCAAAAGTAAAGTTTCAACTTTGTTTTAACTTTTATTTCAAGATATTTTACATATGGTTTACCTTGAAAGATTATATTCAGTAATAATATCCTTCATTCTTGGAATATCAGCTTGATGTTTAGCTGAAAACCCTTGAACCCCTTTCTTTTTTGCATTCTGCATTTTGGTCATAGATAACAAATCTGCTTAACAAGAAATACTCTTTGTCTGGCCTTCATGTTTTTGAAACTATACCTTGGAATCCCAGCTGAACAATAACATAGGTTAAGTTGAACTAATGCGTCTATGACTTCAGTGGGGGAATGTAGAGAAACAATTTCATTAGTTTTTCATGGAGTAAGACAGTTTCATAATCATTTTTCAGTAGTCCACTGTTCTTGGTGATGTGATTACCCATGGAACATAATGTTGCATTAGCATCGAGTGATGACACTCTTCCTTGCACACTGAGCATATGCACTGAAACAACCTTTTGTGTTTATATTGAGCACCTGCAAAGGTTAATAAAAAAAATCTGAATGTTTCAGGGGTGAGAAAATGTTTAATATACTCATGATGTTCATGCTGTTGGACTGATTTTTGGACTGAATGCTGGAATAAATTCCATGGATGTTAGTACACTCCTAAACATGTGGAATGACCTTCCAACTATGGAGAAATCTTCAGGATAAATAACCATGTGCACAATTGACCTATCTGCCTTCTATCACCATCATTTCAAAAGACATAAACAGAAGGAACAAATATTAAATAAAACTAGCATCCCTTTAATAATACAATCAAAATTACTGCAGTTTACAACATAATCAGCTCTAGGTACTTGATCTTGACTACAGGTACTTACCAGTGTTACAGTTAGTCGGTTTATGTCTATAGTATTAGTGTAAGCTATGAGTAGATTACTGCAGCTTACCAGAAATAATTCTGGTCAGCTTTACTGTTACCATATGATATTGTCCTTAAAACTAGCCCTAGAGCTGACATCCCAACTACCAGATTACCCCTAAAAATTATGAACAATTCTTATAACATGTAGTTCATTTTTTTATCCAAAATGTTAAAAAATTTCTTTTAACTGAATTCAAACTCCACAATATCGTAAAACCAACTTCAAAATAAAAGAAATTGATCCGTGTCATAACCCTAATGTTAAAAACTTAACATGTAGGGCTCCTAGATACAAAATACTAAAGTAAAACCTTATAGGGCCCAGCACCCTCATTAGATTCCAACACTGAATATCATTATGACATGGTTCATATCTTATCACTAAACAAATAATTTCCAGGTTTAACACAAATTATTTTCAAGAGGAACTACAGTGTTTCTTGGAAACCAATATCTTGGCCCCAGGGAACACATTGGAATGTGTACACAGATCTTGTTTCAAGGTTTACTAATTGGCTGAACAGAAAGAGGGGATAAAGCCAGCACCACGAGGCCCTAGTACACAACAGACTGTAGTTCCTGTACTAGCATTGTAGAGAGTCAGGGAGAGTCGTAATACCTGCTAGCCCCCTGGGGCGTTGTACTGATGGCGACATGCTCACACAGCTTTGTTACACATGAAATCCTAACACCCTCACAAAAGAGGTATTGTGATAGGTAACAATATCTGATTAGAATGAGACTTATTTAATCTTCCCAGGTGTCACCAGGTTGTAAATTGGCTTCTAAGCTTAGCATGTGGAACTATGGAATTAACTGCTGATCGGTCTGTGAAATCCCATTACGTTTTTGATATTGTATTTAGCATTAGATGGCGCCATAAAAATCTCATTGATTCAGTATTTCTGGTGTAACATTTAAGTGATTCTGGTACATCTTGCTGGTCAGTGAATGAACCGATTGGAAATAAAATCTTTTCATATTATTTTCCTGGACATACAAAAAAGAAAAAAAAATGCTGAACTGATTCACTGTCTTGTGTATATACAAGCAGGCCAACCACATGATTGCTGTGGTTTCAATTTCTAATTCAATTCTTTCTGTTCGGTGCCTACATTTATATGTTAGTGGCCTTTTTTTTAATTGAATACAAGACAACACAAGTTTCTAGTGATAGAACTGAGAACTAGCCTGATAGCCCATGCTAGCTGGTTTAATCTTAAAGAAATCCTAAGGACTATGAATTTGGGGGGCTGTTAAGAAATTATTATTTGAGCTGGTAGTTTTGATTCATTTCTATCTATTTTCCCAGAAATTATTTTTTTAATAGTAGGAAGAAACATGCCAAAAATATGCACCCACTCACTGTCCCTTGTTTTGAAATCTCTGTATTTGGATTAAGAAGTTTTTTGTTGTGCCTATTTGTCAAATTGGAAAATTTAGCAGCTTTGTGGAAGATATTCTGGAGTAATTCAAGATTTCAAATGATAGTCTTCTTGTATGGGAATTATTTTGCATTATGAGAAAAGAATCCATGTTTTGTAGGAAATGTAGATATTGTTTCCCTTGCTGTATATATTTTTAGCTGACTTATGAGAAGTTACATGAATTTAGAAAGAAAAACAAATGATTTAGTTTGGGCCAATTCTGTTTTATAATTAGCTAAAATGAAAATTTTATCACCACTGTCTGTAAGAAATGGTGAGTGAATAAATAATATGTTTTAAATTCTTTCTTCTAACAAATGAAACAATCAATTATCTTTTGGTATTAATTTGCAACATACTTCCGTGATGGTGTGACCTACACGTTTGCTTTTCATTCATGAGTCACAACTAGCCCTCCGACCCTCTCACCCTCCAACCCTCTCCGCTGTGTGTAACCCGAGACCTGTGTAATTGTCACATTAGCGGCATGGGCCAGAATAGATGGTTTGTCACAAGTGTGTAATGAATGTGGCTATTTACGCCATGCTGTAGTGAGGAGACAATGTGTGACTGGCAACATTCCTATGGCATCAATGGTCTCATATTACTCCAGTTGTTGCAGCCATTGTTAGAAGTGGATTTGGATCACAAAATTTAGAAGTGTGAACCTTTTGTTATGCAAGAGGTCATAGTAAATACAGGGCCAATTATCATCTCACATGACTTGTTGTTACATGCAAGTGCTTGTCGCCAGTTTTGTAATGTCAAATTAGTGAAGGGTTCAGTGCATGTTGTATGAGGGTTAGAATTCCCTATTCTGTATAGCATGTCATCATTATAGACAAATATATTATTATGGCTTTTAGTGAGTGAGTTAGTGAGTGAGTATGGTTTTACGCCGCTTTTAGCAATAGTCCAGCAATATCACGGCGAGGGACACCAGAAATGGGCTTCACACATTGTACCCATGTCGGGAATCGAACCTGGGTCTTCGGCGTGACGAGCGAACGCTTTAACCACTAGGCTACCCGACCGCCCTATTATGGCTTATAAGTTTTATGTTGACATGTTTAATGTATTTTAACCCAAAAATGTGAATAACCTTTCAAATTAACGTGTGTTAGACAACATGGAAGTATTTTTTACTCATATCAATTTCTCCTTTTAAGTAAATGCTCAGAATTTCATCTGCTATATAAAATAAATATGTGCAGTGCTCAAATTCCATAGAAAGATTTTGGAAAGTTTTATGACAAATACGAGGGAAATGCTGCGGCCACCTTCTGGCCATTGCAGTGAAACTTTTGTTAAAATTTGATAGTTGCCTTGCTAAGTTAGATTGTTCGATTCCCATGATTGCTTGTGAGACTTCTGCAGATGAGATGACAGTTGATAATGTCAAAATAGTTTTAGTTATCAGGAATGAACTGGTGATTAGAAAAAAAATCTAATCAAACATAGATACCGGGTATATTAAATGCTGATTTGCAAGGCATGCAACAATAAGCTGTTACAATGCGATGTGCTGCTGATTGGTGTGAGTATTGATTGACTGCTGATTGTAATTGACGCTGATTGAAGTTAACTAATCTACAGGTGTACGCTAGTGATAATGGGATAATAATTTCATGCACATTGTTTGAGTCACCGTGGATTGTTACTGACATTGATCAAGGTGGACCAGTTCATCCCATAAGGAAGAAAATTTTATAATATTTGTAGGTCTCTGGCAGGAAAAGTCAGTTCACTGTAGTGATAAATTCTGTGCAGAGTTTGTTACTTGCATGAATATTATGTGATTATAGATAGTACATCTGTCAGGACTTGAAATTCTTTGTTATAAACTGTTAGTATGTTGTATGTGGGTGTTCATTTTAACCATGCTGTATATATATTATTGTTATGCGCTACGTTTATATTTTTTAAGAATTGTTCACAACAATATGACCAGAAATATATTTTATTTAAATAAAATATTTCTGATTGCATTGACCAATTCCTCCATTTCATATACCGGTATGATTTGTCTGTAGTTCTGTTTTTAGAAAGAGAAATATTTCATATGAAATTAGATTTTTTATAACTTCAAATGTCTAATAATAGTTATTATTATCTCAATAAAAACTCATTTTATGAAAGTCTTATCACAAATTGAAAGATAATTTTCCAGCATTTCAGGATTTTGTCAAACAAAACATGTCCTGACTTATGCATGATTATCAAATACATGGATTGTCTTCCTTCTTCATGCTCTTGCAGCTAGATTCTGCCACATTGCTTAGTTTCATGTACTGTTTGCATGACATAGATATAATGATGATAAAGGCACATATGACCTGTTACCATGCTTCCAAATCCACATTTATATCTGTAAATATCTTAAGGATGTTTGCAAGGCTCACTTGCAAAGTCATTGTTGTAGTATGGGAGTTACGGTCGTCTTAGCTCTAAGATTGCTTTTTGTAACATGACCCTGGTCTGTGTTAAAAGTGATTAACTGTTTCTTCAATCCTGAGGTAATGGATGAATAATACTGTTTCATTGAACAAAGACCTTGGTTAACTTGAATCCATTATGTTGCAAGCCAGGAGGTATCAGTGGTGAGAGTTTTCTCCATATCTGCTGATTTGAAAATCAGTTGTAAGTGTTTGAAATCTCTAAAGTGGGGTCTCAGGGTCAATGAGGTTTGCTGGTGTAGTATTTGAATCTTGGGACCCCATAATTGTAAACTTTGAACATTAGCATTATCACAGGGATCCTGTGACTTTCATGCTTAATTTGAACACTGGTTGTTTGCTAATATTGCTAATCATGTTTATGTGAATATTATTTTGACCCCATTACCCTTAAATATGTTTTTCGCATAGTCCATTGATTTTGCATGACATAGATTAGAAAGTAGTTTGATGTTGATGTTGTGTTGCAGCCATCACGCCCCTCCTCGTCACACCACACATCATCACGCCCCCCATCATCACGCCCACTGTCACGTCTGAGCACAACCAGTTCAGGTCCCACAAATGAACTGCTGGACATCCTGGAGAGAATCGGGAAGTTGTCTGAATCCCACGATGCCCTCACTAAACGTGTGGAGGAGCTGGAGGTAGGATAATGTTTTGTGGTTTTATCATGTTTATAATCTCACACACACACACACACACACACACACACACACACACACACACACACACACACACACACACACACACACACACACAGAGAGAGTAATATAGTCTGTGCTAATATGGGATTCTGCAAGTCAAAGCACTTGGTCATCTACCACCTATGACTCGACCTCGGTTAAACCGCTGAGAGGATCTTATGCACACTTGATGACCCCATCAACCCTGTTGCCAGGCTGATGTCACTGTTTCCTCGGTGGATCTTGCAACAATATTTCACAAATTACGTCAGAGGGTATTGTGATGTGATTGTAAACTTTGTGGTGCAGGACCCCGTTCCACAAGGTGATAGTAGAGCAGTGACAGTTGTGCCTCTATGTATATGGGAGTTACGATAACCTTAGCGCTTTGATAGCTTTGTGGAATCGACCCCTGAATTATAAAGGTGGGCCGTTGTATGTTACTCGTATTAAATTAATATGTGTCAACTTTTGACGTGTTAGAAGTATTATTCTGTTAACTCAGTTGGATTATGCTATGGATCGCATAGATGTCTGCCTTTTCACACACGTGTCAACTTTTGACGTGTTTGAAGTATTATTCTGTTAAACTCAATTGCATTATGCTGTGGATCGCATAGATGTCTGCCTATTCACACAGGACAGTGAAATTATGAAAAAGTTATTAACAGCAAGTAATAAATAAAATATCAAAGTTGCTCCTATAAAATACCCATTTTATGAAACTCGCTTTTGCTTGTCAGATACCAGGACTATTCACTCGTTTCATAAAATTGGTATTACACGGCAGCAAGTTTAGTATTCTATACATTGTGTATGAACATAGTTTAGACAAGGTAGTATGAATATTCTATTATTAAACATAACATTTTTAAGTCACTACTTCTAAAGTCTGGATTTACATGAACTCTTTAAATTGTCAAACCTAACAACACATGACACCTTTTATGATCTGATGATGTCATAGAGTTCCATGGGCCATCATATTGCATGGCGATTAACATGTGCAGGAATCCTGAATAACTAAAATGCTGAAAATTGAAAAGTTTTTTTAGGGTAAATTAGTTTGGCTTTTTCTGTCTATGTTTCTGTAAAGCTAAGGCGCGAGATTTCAAATGTATGAACAACAGGTATCTAATCTAATCCAATCTACAGTCAGACTACCTCAAATTTCAAAACACAGTAGGTTTATCTCCTAATTGTACCCTAACAATATGGTGTGCTGCTCATGCTGTCCCCGACTCCTAGTCTACCTTGACTACTGTGATTTAGTTTAAATGTTGCTGATTTGGGGACTCAACATCTTTTACTCACCGATAAACTGGTAATATCGGATATTGTCACTGAGCTGATTTAGGGTACCGTATTCAACGTAATAAGCGCCCAGGGCGCTCTCAAAATAAGAAATAGGGGCTCTTATTAGAATATTATTTTGGTGAGAAAAAAAACAGAGTTGAAAGATCGTAAATGTCGTGGTTTATGCTGACAGCCTGAAATGTTTACATACGACAGGTATATTTTCCAGAATTCAATTGCCAATAATTAAGGATGCACATAACACACGAGTGCGTATTATACCGATTAAATAAGTCGTGTGTACATTGATCAATCGGAAGGGGTGCTGATTGGGATTGTTCACTAGCCAAATATTAGCAAATATCGCCCTGGGTGCTTATTAGACCGGGGCGCTTATTACGTCGAATACGGTATTTGTTTTCCTGATTAATGAATCTCGACCTGCTTGATGCTAGTTATGTAACAAAGTCTTGATACTGCCGACTATTGAGTATGACGCCCCTTCAACTACTACTGATTAATGTCTAAAGCACATATTTCTTAATCACCTATGCCTTGATCACAGAATGACAAATGACTCACGTTATTGACTGCTTCCAGCTGTTAGACTGTTGAAGTTATCATGGTATTCATGATTGAAAAACTCATGAAGATTGACACATGTAATTCCCGAAACAACAAACGACCTTAAAATTGATCACAGCTTTTCAGGTTATTGACAGTTTGCTTTCATTTATGACATATATCCGTTAGATCTTCATTTGAATTGAGTCTTGTCAATATAAAACAATTATTTATTGGACACAAAATCATTTCTTGTTATAAAATACATGAACATGTCTGAATAAGTTTCTTGTTTATTTTTAAGGCAAAATAGTTTATAAAATTCGAGAAAATAGAAATCTTTGTTAGATGTTATTATGAAATGTGTATTTCAAGGTTTTGGTAGACTGGCATGAATTAATTCCTTATTTATATAATTGTTAATGAAAATGATGAAACCACATGATGTGTGTATTAATCATATTAATCTTGTTAATCTTGCAGTTCCCAACAAGAAAATTGTCCATTTAGGCCTGGTGTAGCTATTTAGTTTTCTAAGGCTAACAAACATCTTAATGACTGTCATTTTAAAAAACAAATTCATTAGTTTTTCATCAGCCTTCAATGATCATTTGTGATTTTGACAGAATATATGTCTATTTTTGCAAATTATAGATTTGCAAATAAATGGTTGCAATGAACATCTATTGATTAGTGTAATTATCAGTCACTCAAAATACATGTCTTTGTCACTTTTTCGTTTTTTTATGCCTCTGCATGGCATTAAGTACACCGAATATGAGAATAACTGCTCATTCAGTAGCAAATCCTAGCCATGTACCTTTTACGAAGTAATTGAGTGTACAGACATCCAGTTGAGTGGCAGTAATCACGTCGGAATCGGACTATAAACATGCTTTGTTTGTTATTGATTGACTATTGATTAAGACATAGATTCGCATGCTTCAACACCTGCACGACACGGAGAGGAAGCCATGTCTCATTAACAAGGTCGTCAGTGACGAGGGAAAGTGCTATTTTATGCATAGTGCATTTGGTGCAGTTATCTGCCTGTTAAAGTACAGATGTTGTGAAATCAGGCTTGTCCTGATAGGCTGTGATTCAATATTTATAGAATTGGACCTCCAAACCGGAGGAAGATGAAGACCGAAGTTCTTATAAATCTGATATTCATGCTTAAGGTCTATTCGAGACCATTAAACATTAAAATCTGCAGTGTTTGAAATTAATGGGGGTTCCTGAGGCGCCTGAGGTTTGCTGCTGTAGTGTTTGAATCAATGGACCTCATAAATGTTTAACATTTAACATTTGGGTGTGACAAGGACTTGGTTGACAGTGTGTCACTGTACCCCGATGGCATGGCTTCTTGTTGTAATATCAATCACTTGATGTCTGGTCCAGACTTGAGTATTGACAGGCCACTCATATTGCTGGAGGGTGGCGTTAAACAACAAACATTCAGAGAACACAGATATGTATATTAAAGTCTTAATTATGAATCCATTTCGTGCAAATAACTTTTTAGAAGTCAGACCTTAGTTCTCGCTACCGCTAAACAAAGATCTGAAGACATCCCCATTAGGGGTCACGTCAGAACGACCTTTCATCCGACCAATCAGAGCGTCGCTTACCAGATCATGAATGTCACAGTCGGAATGTGATTTCTAATCATACAACCTCAAAAACTTTAACACGGGGTATTCCTAACGATAGTTACGGGTTTAACGACTGAATCCATACAATTTAGACCATCTATTAGCCATTCCAGAATGTTCTTTTGTTTCAAATTTGTAATCGAGAATTTGTCAAAATATGTTTTGAAGCATAGTCGCCAATTTGAAATTAGTGTTGAAAGCACGAGAAAGCTGCCTTCTGATTGGTCATTCCATTGGTCGGTCAAAGTTTGCGCAAGGTTGGTCTGATGTGATCCGTAATGGGATCTCCTCAGATCTTTGTTTAGCGGCAGCGAGAACTAAGATCTGATTTTAATGAGATTGCAGAAGCAAGGACGTAAAAATATGTTCCCAAACTTTTCTGATTCTGTTATCACGATTAGGGCATAAGAAAGAAATTGCATCCCTTCTGACAGGTCTTGAAATATTAATAAAAAAAGATAATTTTCCATCAAAGACAAAATAACACGGCTCATCCCCCAGAAGTTTAAATAGTTGTCACTTTACTTTTTCAATCTATGCATAAGGTAAAAATGATCCCACCCACAATTTTCATTTTGTTAGAAGCATCTAAGATAAGGGTACATAATATGGATGGATGCCACTGCGGCTGTAATTGTCACAAGAACCAAACGTTTTGATCACATCTCACCAGATCTCAATATCAGTCAGATCTCAAGACAAGATGTTTCTCCAGACACCTTACATTAAATCCTTTAATTTTGGAGAGAGATCTGCTCAATATGCAGCAGCTTTTAAATGGAACAATTTGCTGCTTGATATCAAGTAATCAGAAAGCCTGTTGAATACACCAACAGTAAACTACGTTTATAACGAACACACTTATAGCGAACTGACAGATATAACAAACTTTTTTTTGTCCCTGCCATTTGCTGTATATATGCTTATAACGAACTACGATTATAATGAACTAAAATTAGTGGTCCCTTTGAGTTCGTTATAAGCATAGTTTTCACTATACATGCCCTACCTTGGCTCTCAGCATCATTTTCAGAAGTATTTAGTGAAACTATATAGACCAAACTGAATTTGGCTTCAGACAACTAACTGTTGTTATCACAGACTCAATTAACATGGGCCCCATTCAACAAAGCGCTCCTATCACTACGACTATCATAAGTTTATGATAAAATATGGGAGTTACGATCATCTTAGCCCTGAGACCGCTTTGTGGAATGGGTCCGTGGTAGTGTGTCCTCTGATGTACTGTGTTGCGCCACAGACCTGCCTCTATACTACCAACATTAGGAAGGCCAGCACAATATCCCTAAAAGATTGCTCTACATTGTCATACCCATTCCATCACTGTAATACAATTCTCAAATTTCCCAAAGTTCTGCCAAATACTTTTCCTAAATTCAACCGTGCTTCTCACCTCTATTACAGGAACAGTTGAAGAATAAACTGGACAAAGAAGCTCTCGAAGGACTGAGTAAGTAACCACACTTATCTACTTCAGTGAGTGAAGGAATGACTTGAGTTTAACGTTCTTCAAACTGTAACTAAGTTTGGTTAAGTGAAACAAGTTACCTGAATTTGGGATGAGAGTCCAAGTGATGCAGATCATAACGTTTCCAACTTGAATACCCACAGGCATGGCTGATTATGCTGTGGTGCTGACAAACCATGGATAATAATCTGACCAAGACTGGGAATCAAACCCCCGGCAGGGTTAGAAATTCATTTTTGTATTCATGAGTCAGCAAAAACATTTTTCACCATCTACATTGATCTACCCAATGGTAAAATGGTAATCAATAAGAAAATGTCACAAGTCCTGCCTGAATTTAACTAGCCTTGGACTAGCAGATTTTTGCATAACCAACACAACCAGCAGATGCCTGCAGATCTAAGGAAGTCAACACTGCATAATGAATTGTGACAAATCAAACCATTGGCCCCTGGGCCCCCTATTATGTTCAGTTTCAATAGATTTGAATGATGTTTGTCTTTTGTGTGAATCATAGCACAAGGTGTCCCCAGCTTTCAGCTACATTGCTAAAGATGTCCTTGCCATCATCCCTGCATGAAGTTCTAGGTTAAAATAATGGATTAATTAGATTTCATTTTTGACATACATGTTATGGCACATTGCCAGTGTCATTTTGTCCATAAAATCCTCTTTTTATCAAAATGTTTCCAATGGTCTGGTATTACTTCATGCCCAGAGATTGCTAATACAAGGTGCTGAAAAATATCTGGCACGACATAAATGTTTTAAGTGACTCATGCAGACTTTTATTTTTATCACCGATTTAAAAAAACATATGCGGCTTGCTACAGTCAGCATTTTAGCTGCCAGTCGGTGTGGTGCAATCATTGTATCATCCAGTGAGACCCCTGCCATAATGTGTTGCTAACTCCCTGAAGTGAACTTCCTTGGACTTCAAATAATCATCATAATCATGGCATTATGGTTTTTGTGTTAACAGAGCTTCGATTCAAATAAGTAAATTTTTTTAAACAGAATATCATGCATAAGTCTATTTTAACTATTGGGAGAGAACGTTTGTGGAGGCAGAACCAGGATTTTGAAAAAAGGGGTGTGCACTTAAAACCCAAATCACATGAAGTGTCTTGGCCTGGGTTGCTGTTAAAACAAGGGGGGTGCACACCCCCACCCCATCCCTGCTACACACACACACCCTGGATCTACCAGTGCTTTCTGTATTGTCTCACAACTATTCCAACCAACTTGGATTAAATCTTGCAGCATATTTGAAGGCCAGTATTTCAGAACTTGATGTTATTTTGTTCCCACAGTGCAACAACTTGCAAATCTTTCTGAGAAACAGGAAAACCAAGAACCGCTGGTGGTGACATTGCCTGCTCAGATTGAGAGGTCGGAAGTGATCTCAACATTGTCTCAAACCTCCCCTGAGCCCAAACCTGACTCCCCTAAACTTGTAACCATTGTTGAAACTCCAGAACCAGTTAAATCTCCTTCCCCTCCTCCAGTAATAGAATCTGAGGTAGAAATAGTTATCTCCTCCTCTGAACCGGAAACTGAACCTGTGACAGTCTTCCCTGTTCAAGTTGAATCTGTCCAGGCACCAGAACCAGTTAAGCCTGAACCCAAACCAGTTGAGGTCACTTCCATCAAACCGGTCTCACCACCTCCAGCACAACCTGAACCAGTTATCATACACATGCCTGGACCGGGTATATATATTTGTATAGCAATGGAGATTGTAGCTATAGACTTTCGAATAGAACTCTCCGAGCTTACCTTCGTTGTGTTGTAGGATTCTTGGTAGAATAACTTAAACCTTGAAAATATCAGTACTAACCATTGTTCTATAGCAGTCTCATGAGCTGACAATGAAAAACAAGGTTTTTTTGTATGACATTTGTCACTTGCACATGTTGATATAATTAATCTATTCCTAGTTTCAGAGATGCATTTGTTCTTCAATTAGGAACTGAAGTTGAGAATTATGTAACTAGAATCTAACAGAATATTGCAGATGTTTTTGTTTCTAACATCCGTTGTTAACATGGTTAATTTGATGCTGAGTAACATATGCCTTATATTTTCTACAGTCTTAGAATCTGTAGAAGCAGAGTAGCAACAATGACTTAGTGACTTAGACTATAAATACACTCATATTTTAAGAATTTTTCATGAAAATGGTTTCGCACGCATGAAATGTATTAACATGACTTTAATTTGTGTAATTATCTGAACTTTTTCATTTATAGTCTCTTATTTTTAGGATAAAATTTATTCCTTATGTTCTGTCTCAAAGACAAATATGTCAGTAATAGTAGATAGACAATTTGTTAACAGAAATTCTGCATTATTTAAGGTTAATTCTATAGATGCTCTTGGCATTGTTATGTTGAGAGTTAAGAAACAATTCATCAACAGACTAATGTGTCATGCAATATTAACAGTAATAGTTTTTGTTCAGGACCGATTTTGTTCATGATTGATTATGTTCATGTCTGATGTTGTTCATGAATGGTGGTGTTCATAATCGATGTTATGACCAATGTTGTTGACTGGTGTTGTTCATGACTGATGTTGGTCATGAACAATGTTGTTCTGATCAATGATCATGATTGATGTTGTTCATGTCGAATGTTCATGTGTTGTGTTGTTCATGACTGATGTTCATGACGGATATTGTTGACAATAGATTTTCATGATTGATATTGTTCATGACTGGTGTTGTTCTTGATACAGACATCTCAGGGGACCTGATGGAGCAACTGAACAAGCTGAAGGAGGAGCTTGATGCCCTGCAGTCCATGAGAGATAAGGTGAGCTACAGGGTGGTTGTAGTGATAGGTAGACAAGAAACTGCTTGATAGGTATATCAGCAGTTAAAGTTATTCATTTCTCTTTTATTTACATAAACACATACACTGTGTCATAGATAGTATCAGCATGTTTAGTCTTGACAGAATGTGAAACAAATATTTTATGTTTGAGTCAATTAACTCTTCTGTTAGCTTCTAACTACTTGTTATTGTTCCAATTTGTTTGGGGTACCCCTAGCCCTTTAACTCAATTAAATATGCGGTTATTACTTTGTGTCTTAGCTGGAACTTTCCTTTACAAGTTTTCATTTTCCTGTGCACCATTTAACTGTAAATTTGGTTTTATGAATTCCTGCATGTTTCATAATTGCATGTCGATTACTTAGCCCATATGGGTACAATATGCAAAGACCATTTCAAGTGTCCCCTGCTGTGATATTGCTGGAATATGACATAAAACTATACTCACTCACTCTAATACCTATCCTCTCCTTCTTTCTTTCAACCATCTGATCACATTTCACCCTGGCTTTGCACTTTACTCTGTCACTCTCATCACTCTAACACTCTGCACCTGATGCTCATGGCGCTCCCAACAGTTGCCCACCACTATATCAACCTCTGGGTCTGTTGGTAACAAACACATGTCTATGGATGGCGCTGGGAAGATACACACCTCTCAGCCTCCTAGTGATGGAGAGTCATCAGACACTGGCACCATCTCTGCATCAGAAGGACCATCATTATCCCATAACCAGTCCAGTCAGGAACTGCTAGCCATCCTCCGATCACGTGTGTCGGACTCTGAAGCCTTTGAGGAATTGATTTCTCGTGTTGGAAACCTCGAGGACAATTTCAAAAACCTGCAGCAGGCTATCCTGAATCCATTGGCAATTGTTGGCTCCCAACAGTTGCCCACCACTATATCAACCTCTGGGTCTGTTGGTAACAAACACATGTCTACGGAAAGCGCTGGGAAGATACACACCTCTCAGCCTCCTGGTGATGGAAAGTCATCAGACACTGGCACCATCTCTGCATCAGAAGTACCATCATTATCCCATAACCAGTCCAGTCAGGAACTGCTAGCCATCCTGCGATCACGTGCGTCGGACTCTGAAGCCTTTGAGCAATTGATTTCTCGTCTTGGAAACCTCGAGGACAATTACAAAAACCTGCAGCAGGCTATCCTGAATCTAATGGCAATTGTTGGCTCCCAACAGTTGCCCACCACTATATCAACCTCTGGGTCTGTTGGTAACAAACACATGTCTACGGATGGCGCTGGGAAGATACACACCTCTCAGCCTCCTAGTGATGGAAAGTCATCAGACACTGGCACCATCTCTGCATCAGAAGGACCATCATTATCCCATAACCAGTCCAGTCAGGAACTGCTAGCCATCCTGCGATCACGTGCGTCGGACTCTGAAGCCTTTGAGCAATTGATTTCTCGTCTTGGAAACCTCGAGGACAATTTCAAAAACCTGCAGCAGGCTATCCTGAATCCAATGGCAATTGAGGACAGCGGCTTCTCCAGTGAGCCCTTTGGTGACCTGCCGTCATGCTTCTCCGACATGGATGAAAAGATTGTTATGTTGTCTCCTGTATCCAGTAATGTCACCGACCCTGCAAGTGAGGGCGAGAGCAAGGGACAGAAGAAGGGAAGTTTGAAGAAAGGGCATGATATTGGTGATTCAACAGAGGATGAATCGGATACTTATAACCTTAACTTGGGGTCTGAGTTGAACAGAACAAACGAAAAGTTGAAGCATCTCAGACGTGCTTTGGATGACCAGATGGGAGAGGTCAGGAATAAAATATTTGCACTGGATCACGACCTGAAACGGATGGCAAAGGGTGTGGAGTTTGCCCTCAGGCAATCACGGGTAAAAGGATTGTCGAACATGGTCAGTATCACCAAACCAAGGATGCCAGTTCCCTTTTTGGGCTTTTTGCCTTGTTTGTTCCATGTGGTCTAGATTTACTGCTGCAACTCCCACACTTCATCACAGACTTACAGGAGTTACAGGAACAGCAGCAACAGCCACAATTATACTAATATTTGAAGTTGGTTGCATTTGATCATGCATGTTTTTGACTTACTAACAACATCATCTTCACTGTCCTTGTGTGACAATTTTATGCTCTAATCCAAAATGTATTTCTTTGAAGGTTTCAGGAAGTTATTTGACATTTATCTCCCGCCCACCAAAGTTGACGGGGGATATAGAAACGGGCTCCTTCCATCCATCACGTTTCGTTTCCGGAGCATAACTCAAAAACCCTTCAATATTTTTTCATGAAACTTTGCAGGTCTGTCAAGTACATGCTGAACTGGTGCCTTTTGCTATTTAGAAATTTTAGAAATTTTAATTTTTTTTTGGTTTCCATGGCAACAAGATGGACTTAGGTTCTGTGAGGGTAGGGTTCGTTTCCGGAGCATAACTCATAAACCGTTCAATATTTTTTCATGAAACTTTGCAGGTTTGGCAGGTACATGCTGAACTGGTGTCTTTTGCTATATGGAAATTTTAGAAATTTTTATTTGTTACGTTTCCATGGCAACAAGATGGACTTAGGTTCCAAACTCTTCTTTTTTTTACAATTTCCATGATAAGTTCTACCTCGGTTAAAAAAGGTTAGGGTTTGTTTAGATTTAGTTATGTCATAAATTCTGCAACAGGGGCTGGGGATATAGCCACCTTAGTGGCAAACTCTTGTAATCTTTGGAAACAGTATGCTCTTTGATCCAAAAATGTTTAGCAAGGAAATGGAATTTTTGTCCAACCTGCCCAAAACAGCCTGGCTAGAAACTATTGTTGTACCTTATTCTTACCACTTGTAATTCCCAAAATGATCTGGACCACCTCCATGGCCTACTGGTAGAGTGTTCAATGTTTAAGGACACGGATGCTCTAAGCAGAGCTCAGAAGGCAATTCTGCAGCTGCAGGCAGAACTAGAGCGACTTGTGGAGGAAAGCAAGCACCACTCCGAACAGATTGAGGTGGGAAACAACACACATGAACTGCTCTTGCAACACATGATTCCTTTAATATGTCCAGTGGTCGAAATTATTATCAGAACGCTAGACTAGTAAACTTCAGGATGCCCCAGTGGCATTTCCATTTAGTTACCATTAAGTAGATAGCAACTCTGTAACTAGTGAAAATATAAATAAATTTCTGACCCTGCAATGTTTGTGGTTTTCACACCAGAAGAAAACTTTAATCTGGCTTAAAAAGATCTTAAAATATTTGTATTTGTCTTGAATTTGGCAACCATGGTTACCTATGCTGTTAAATATATTATTTCTCTAGTAATGTGTTAAAACATCATGTGACAAAAGATAAGCCTGTCACTCAAACTGGTGTTTACTTGACTCGAATATTTTATGTTGTGTATTTGGTGGACGTGCGCATGGTGCCATTGTGACAGTAGAATAAAGTAACAATGTTCTTGGAATCGGTTTGACACATATGGATTTTACTTTAAGCCTTTAAAAGTGTGGTCATTGCTTTTAAAAAGTAGGCATGGTATCTCAGTGGGCTAGCACTATAAAATTGACATTATTTCAGGCTAGTACAAGCAGCAGTAATCATGATCGTAATGTTAAACACCATTTCACCCTACCTCACCCATATGATCCAATACTCAAAGTATAGCAACATTTTGAAAGGATGGATATTCAAGTAATCAATAATTAAAAACACAACTGCCACCTATCAACCCAAATCCCAAATTAAGGGATGGGAATCATTGGCGTAAGCAAACAAAAATATTCAATGTTTAATGATAGCTTTGACCTGAAAAGGGATCCCAAGCACTAGAACTGTTACAGCTCCAATATACATCCAACATATATTTAAAATCAGTTGCATTTCATGATGTAGTCTCTTGCTGCTACAAATTTTCCCCATACTCAGTGCCGTCCTTGTGTTTGTCAGATACATTGTGACACCGAAGTTGCATAACTACTGCAAACATTCTGTATTGAATGACTCTTTGTTCTGCTGAGTCAATTGTCAGTGCAGTTCCATATCCCTGTGCACTGTATTGACTGGCGCAGCTGCACTTTAAGCGTTGTCATGCCTCGAGCCATGCAGTCATCCATCCAACATGCACTACTTGCGACACTGCATTGTGCCAGGCCCTGGAAAGTGTAGCCCTGTGTGTTGTGTGGGAACACAGATTAATGTACATGTGCTTGTTTCCCAGTCTGTCACCACGAGTATAGACATGTATGGGTAGCAGTGTTCTATAAATGGGAGCTTTGATTTGGTTAAGAAGAAAGACAAGTTCTATGGATGAACAACTTCTTTATTACAATTAGTGTGACGTTTCGGTGTCGATCCTAACACCTTTATCAAGCAAGTGATGGATAGTGCTGAACAACATAGGTATATATACTTATTAACATCATTGTTTTTACAGTATCCAGTTTTTACCCTGTCCCATTAGGCATTACCTGGCTTCCAATCATCTTAGTCAGCTCTCTGTGTCCATCAATCAATTTACTGTAAAAACATTGATGATAATAAGTATATATACCTATATACCTATATCAGTATGATACACATGTTCATGATAATCTCTATGTATGTGACTGATGCTTATGAAGTTTTAAATGTCATTCTGTGGTAGATTTGTAACTGAAGCAACCTTTTTCTAAATAGAGCTTATTGACGATGCGACGCAGCCTTGAAGATATTATAAAAAAATTTGTAAGCACAGACAACATTGCCCCAGGATCAGCGTTTTTTGTACTCACATATCTGATTCTCTTGATCCTGTTGTTTCATTAATATGTCACTGCTTTCTGCTGGTTTACTTCAGCAAGACAACCTCAGTTTGTTTTGGATTGCTTTGATGATTTTATTTCAACATTCACAGTTCAAGTGCTCCTGATTTCCTTTTTTTTTATTGTATAACATGTCTTTGTTTTTAACATATGACTTATTTTTCAGAATTGGTCCATTCCACAAAGCCATCTTTGCTCTATGACTGTTATGATTTCTGTACAGAGGCTGAGGACAGTCGTAGTGCTGTGATTGCTTTGTGAAACTCGACCTTGTTATTTCATGCTTTTGTTTTATGTTACCACGGTTTTGTTAATGTTTTATGCAGATTTGTTTACAGTTCACCTTTTTTGGTATTATTTCATATTATTTGTGATGCGTAACATTGAACTGTTTTATCTATTGTAACAGCATCATGATTAAATTAAAATGGGATATTTTCTAAATATGATAACTTTGTTATTGTAGATAAAGATTATGTAAAATTTGATATATTTCATAATTCATAAAATAAGTGTTTTAAATTCTTTTTAAAAATTGAAAAGTATCAAAGAAAGAGTCGTGACACCAGATTCCAGAGTGGTCTTACACAGCATGTATTGTGTTTAAGGACACGGACGCTCTAAGCAGAGCTCAGAAGGCAATTCTGGAGCTGCAGGCTGAACTAGAGCGACTGAACAATATCACACAGAACATTGTGGAGGAAAACGAGCACCGCTCCAAACAGATTGAGGTGGGTAACACCACACACTAACTGCTCTTGCAACACATGATCCCTTTAATATGTCCAGTGGTCGAAATTATTATCAGAACGCTAGACTGGTAAACTTCAGGAAGCCCCAGTTGCAGTACCATTTAGTTACCATTAAGTAGATAGCAACTCTGTAACTAGTGAAAATATGATAAATTTCTGACCCTGCATTGTTTGTGGTTTTCATACCAGAAGAAAACTTTAATCTGGCTTAAAAAGATCTTAAAATTGTATTTGTCTTGAATTTGGCAAACATGGTTACCTACGCTGTTAAATAAAATATCTCCTAGAAATGTGTTAAAACATCATGTGACAAAAGATAAGTCTGTCACTCAAACTGGTGTTTGCTTGACTTGAATATTTTATGTTTTGTATTTGGTGGACGTGCGCATGGTGCCATTGTGACAGTAGAATAAAGTAACAATGTTCTTGGAATCTGTTTGACACACATGGATTTTACTTTAAGCCTTTAAAAGTGTGGTCATTGCTTTTAAAAGTATGATCATGGCCTGTAAAAATGTGATCGTTGACTGTAAAAATGTGATCATTGCCTGTAAAAGAGTGATCATTACCTTAAAAGTGTGAAGATTACCTTTAAAGTTGTGTGATGATTGCCTGAAAAGTGAGATCATTGCCTGTAAAAGTGTGATCATTACCTTAAAAGTGTGAAGATTGCCTTTAAAGTTGTGTGATGATTGCCTGAAAAGTGAGATCATTGCCTGTAAAAGTGTGAAAATTGCCTTTAAAAGTTGTGTGATCATTGCCTGAAAAGTGTGATTATTGCCTGTAATAGTATGATGACTGCCTGTAAAAGTTTGATCATAACCTTTAAAAAAGGCCTTAGAATTAGATATGGTGGATTTAGTTTTGAATGAACTGTGCTGTTGCAGAACCTGCTAGGCTACTGTGATACTCTCCAGGACAAGAAGGCAGACAAGGAATATGTTGCCATGGAGGTGGATGTGGTGAGTGTTGGCACCAGCTTCATCTGTGTCTTAGACTGAACATGTCATAGCAGTCATGTACCTATAGATGAATAAATGGCTTTCAGACATCAACCAACCAGGTCTAAGTTGACTTGAGATAAGCAGAAATGATCACATGCAAATTACAACCATCTATGATTAATGTCAACTATATTTGTGTAGTGTCACCTGAGTGTTTAAAACAGATGAGAGTATAGAATTAAAGTACCGTATTCGACGTAATAAGCGCCCAGGGCACTCTCAAAATTAGAATAAGGGGGCTCTTATTGGAATATTATTTTGGTGAAAGATGGTAAGTTTCGTGGTTTATGCTAACAGCCTGAAATGTTTACAAACGCCAGGTATATTTTTCCAGAATTTAATTGCCCATAATTAAGGGTGTATATAACACACGAGTGCGTATTATACACAAATAAATAAGTCTTGTGTACATTGATCAATCGTAAGGGTGCTAATTGGGATTGTTCACTAGCCAATATATATCAGCAAATATCACTGTGGTCGCTTATTAGAGCGGGGCGCTTATTACGTTGATTACGGTATTTGCTTGATGTGCCTTGACAGAAAGCCGACAAGCGTCAGCTGGACAACAAGGTGAACCGCAGCGTTTTTGAAAATACCACAGACGAGATCAACAAGATCATCAAGGAGATCCTGGACAAGTTGGATGGAAATGTTAGTACCTCATCATTGCAATCTTAATCTGTGCCCAAACCTTTTGAGTCTACTAGCAGCATTTCCAGTGAATTTTAGTGTTCTTATAAGGCATATTAGCTGATCTCACCAGAAAGAACAGGTTTACTAGTCTGTATACAATTGTATGCTGTCTGAAATGTTGTTATTGATGTGAAGTATCGGTCATTTTGCTGCTGCAAGGAATCAGAAATAACTTATTGGATGATATTGATCATAGACATCCTTCGAGAGTATTCTGCAGTATCACATAACTCTAGTTTAGACAGAGCCCAGTCTAGGTAATTTCTGGCTGAGGATATTAACTCTCACCTGTGACTTCCCTGATTGTTATTCATGCTATAGTCTGTAGTAGTTACATTTGTTACCTTGCCTGTCTCCAGGAGAGTTCCTGGAAAGACGCCGTTGCCCAGTTGGCTGACGAACTTGAGGGCAAGCTTGACCGGCTGGAGTTAGATCCACTCAAGGAATGGCTAGAGTCCCGCCTCAAGGCTCTCAACAAGAAGATCATGGCCAACGCTGGCAATGAATGGTTAGATGACGATGCTGCTGGACTGAGGAAGTAAGACTGTCTTCATTCTTGTTATTTGATGAGTGAACGAGTGAGTGAGTTAGTTGGGTTTTACCCTATTTTTTGCAATATTCCAGCAATTTCACATCGGACACCAGAAATGGGCTTCACACATTGTACCAATGTGGGGAATCGAGCCCAGGCCATCAGTGTGATATTTGCTTATGATTCAGGGCTCCGTTCAACAAAGCAATTTTAGGGCTCCGACTGGCATGAGCCCATGTTAAAGTATAGGAGTTATGATTGTGGAACGGGCCCCAGGTTGATTTGTTCATAAAGGACTTGAACTGTGTATTACTGAATAAGACATAGTGTCTACATGGATGTTCCCATTGACATGAAAAGTGGTTTGTTTTGTGGTATATTTTTTTTACCTTTTTGATAGTTTCTTGTATTCATGGATGTAGGTAGCTGTTGTTATTTCTGTTTGCTTCATTTTTCTCTGCATGATCTGTATAATCTGTAACACTAACATGCATCATGTTTTTTTCCAGACAACTGCTGCAGAGATTCAACTGCTTGTCATGTGACCGACCTGTAGACCTCATGCCAACTGGGTAAGAAAGTTGAACTGTTTTTGCTGTAACTACACGTATTTCAAACAATTACAGTGATACGAGTCTTCTGGTTTGATTTTCATAAAAGTCCACAATTTCTGTTGCCAAATTCTGTGATTTATGTTATTTTCAACGTTTTCAATAATTTGACCATTTTACAGTTCAGCACAATACTTTATCTGGGTCTCGTTGTTTTGGTGTTGTAATTTTTCACTCAATATGTATCATGCTAAGTATATTGTATGCATGTTTGCATCAGTGTGCAGCATTTCATTTTACTGCATTTTTGTAAGTGCTGCATATAAGCAGGAAAAGTTTTCAGAGTATAGTGTATTTTAGTTGTGTTTAGAATACACAGCCAGATATAATGAAAGATAATATAAAGGTATTTGAAAATTATGGATGTAAGTTTGGCAGTGTGACTTCATGGAGTGAGTGAGTTTGGTTTAACGGCGCTTTTAACAGTATTCCAGTTATGTCGCGGCGTGTCAGCTTAATGTGGAAGGAAAGCCTTAAGAGATTCATGTCTCAGATGTTTACCACTTCGGTGAAACCCACGAGCACGGGTATGGTACTGACAAACCTAGAAACACCTTAGACGACTGGGCCACCCGTGCCCCCCTGTGACTTCATGGACCAGAAACAGTCATCATTTCAATGTCAAATGTATGCTTTAGATCACAGATAATGCACATTAGACTTTTATTGTTTGGTGTTACTGTCAATACTTGCATTCTCATCCCAACAGTCCAGTTCAATCACTGCCAAGTCAGAACGGTCTCCCACCCACTAGGTCACCCCGACCTTACACCACGTATGAGCTGGATCAGATTCGACAGAGTGCCAAGAGGTAAGTGGCAGATTGCCATTTCCATGTACATAGCACCTAGTACATAGCTGCTTCTCATTGTATACATACATCTGTAGATTGCTTCAAGCTTCATGCATCACTGCATAAATGTGTTGTGGATGACAGCTTGCTGTCACTTATGATAGCATTCATGACCCATACTCATTCATGACCCATTCATTCATTCTTTGCTAGAAGATTCAAACCCCAAATTCATGTTGAACTTTGAGCGCTGTTAATTTAGAAGATACATGACCTTGAAAGATTTAGTATATCATTGTACCCCCGTAACCATGGCGACATGGATTTATGCTCACATTATCCACCTCACTGCTTTTCTTGCTGCAGTGTGTCTTCATACATACCAGCCTACATGAAACATGAAACATGTCATGAAACAGCTTGGTAATTGCTGACTAGGGGACAAAACCCACTCACTCACAACATTTTGTAATCTGCGTCTTATCATTGTTTATTTGTGTAGACACACTATTTATGTTGCTTGGCTTTGCATGGCAGTTGTGTGCTTGTGTAATGGCTCTGGCCCACCTTCATCAAATGTTTTTCTTCATTAGAATTTACCAAGGGGTAGTTGACAAACAGCATTCTTCACATCAGTTTCGGTAAATTCTCCCAGATTTTGGTTCAGTTTGAGATTGCATGTCATGAGCACTTCATTCAGCATGGTTGACATCACTCCTAATTCACAGTACATACGCTGGCACCATTGTCCACTCGTCTCTTGCACCATGGCACTAACGGTTGGCACAATATGTATTCAATCCTTGAACTGCATGGTTTGTAAGGGTTGTTTGATGACTCTGTGAGGACTGATTGTTGCATATTTCTAATATTTGAAGGAGAATTGTGTTTGAGAAATCAGAGGGAAAATCTATGTGTGTGTTAATTATCTCACTGAAAATTTTAGGTATATAATTAGTGATAAACTTACTGATGTGTTGAAATTGTACGTGGCTGCGTGGAAACATGTTGATATTAATGCAATTAAATGATAAATGCAAAAGAAGGGGTACCAATCTCCTTTAATTTTCCATAATTAATCATGTTAATTATGAACTTTGGGCTTGTTTTCTTTCAAATTGAAATTGAAGTACCAAATCTGAATCTAGTCTTATTTAGCCAAATATTTCTTACTTATTTTCTGAAAATGTATCTGTGTGATCTTTGAAACTGGTTAAAATTATTAAACTGACAAGATACATCCTTTAACTGTAATAAATTCATATTGAACTGGGGACAGTTTTTCCATAAATAAACTGAATTTACCAGGGTAGGAGGTAAGGGGGTAGTGTAACAAATGAAAGGTGGTTGCTTTCACAACTTTTTCACTATTAATATTTGGACAAAATTAAGTAGACCAAATAATATTTGTTCTTGTCTCAGATTTCCCATGAGTTTTTCTAGGCCTGGTCAGAAACTGATATTCAGCCCCAAGTCTGCAACAAATGTCCAAATTGAAACTAAATATTTCTCACTTCTTGTGAAAATAGTTACAACTAATTAGATGGTTTTGTAGGCATGACATGTACTTAACTGATGACAGGACTAATAATGGGAAGATGCCTAATGATTTGTTTTATGCTATTGAATTGTATGTATAGGATAAAACACGTCTGAGGGTTGTTATGATTTTTAAAACCTGCATCCCGAGGGAAAGGGTTTTAAATATCATAACAACCTGAGGGGAAGTGTTTTATCTAACTTATGAACCGAGAAAAGAAACTTAAAACAACATTTATCAACATTTTTATGTTTCGAACATCCTTTCCATGAACCTTAGGAATTGGGCGTAAAATATCTGTTGCTGGCGTACAGATCTTGAAAAGAACATTCTAAAAAGCAGTGTGGCTTATCAGCGCCTCTGTAGCCTAGTAGTACACTCACTTGGCTACAGATATGAAGTTTAAGGTTGCGAGTTCGATCCTCGGGAGTATAAAAAAAACATTTGTCATTTGATTTTACATTTCATTACATGTTACAATCTGAACGGAAGATATATTAATAAAATACCCAGGACATTATATAAAATCCCTGGGATATTATAACACATTATATAGCAGATATGACTTGAATATCCTATAAAATCCCGGGGATATTATATAAAATCCCAGGGACATTACAATGTCCCTGTTTATGAAATTAAACACGACTGGAGAACAATAGGACGTCACGGGAGGTTTATAAGCAATGTTAAAATACCTCTGAATTTTTTAGAAAAAACATACACTTCAAAAGAAATCCCAATTTTGAACGAAATAATGATTACCGTATTCGACCCATTAAGCGCCCCTCCCCCAATAAGCGCCCCCCCCCTCCCGATTCCGAAAATTTATATACCGTATTCGACCCATTAAGCGCCCAGTGCGCTTAAAAAAAGATAGAAGGGATGGGCGCTTATTGGGGCCAATTCAGAGTCAAATTGGCGTAAATTCATCAGTAAGCCTTACCGTATTTTCTTGAGAATAGTGCGCACTTTTTTTCTCCAAAAAACACAGCTGTGTAGAAGGGGGTGCGCATTATACACGAATTAATGAGTTTTGATGTTTTTTCCCCCATGGAAAGACATTACTGTGAGCACGTAACACCGGAAATACCATGTCAACAAATCCATACTGAAGTTCGCAAATTATTCATGTAATTACACTGTCTGGCTATAAAAAGTGTTCTTTGTATATCTGGACTTTTGTTACAAATATCTAAAATAAACAGAATACAGTCATGCCCCGCTTATACGGACTTCAAATATCCGGAAACCTTGGTTCCCGGATGATTTTCATTTAAAACGAAATAATTACAAGATTCTATATAAATTTTCGGAACCGGGAGGGGTGGAGGGGCACTTATTGGGGGAGGGGCGCTTAATGGGTCGAATACGGTAGTAATTATTTCGTTTTAAATGAAAATCGTCCAGGAACCGAGGTTTCCGGATATTTCAAGTCCGTATAAGCGGGACATGACTGTATTCTGTTTATTTTAGATATTTGTGACTTTGAATATTATGTGCAGAAAAAAATTACACCGTACCCCTTCAGGGATGTCTGGCAAACTAACAGGTGATGAGAAACTTCGTCAGTACAAATTCGAAATTTGAGATAAAAAAAATCACCAGACATGATGATTTACCGTTTAAATTGTATTTTTTGTTCAGCTAGGCATTGTTTTATATACAGGGATTAAGATTACCTTGTGCATTTTCTCGTAAACTAAGCTGGACACAGCAATCAGCTGTACACACGTTTTCTTGGAATCTACCGGTGATTTGGTCAAGACACACCCAATGATATAACTTTACAGGATTTTAAATGCAAGGATCAGCAAAAGTTGTATCTGAAACTATTTTTTTATCAGGAATAATATATTCCAATATCTTGTTAATTTAGATGCAGCTTTTACTAAACATATTTAAAATAATAATAACCCTAAGCGAAGCAGCTGATCGCTATTGCCGGGTATTTATATTTCTCTGTCAACTAAAGTTCGTTTCAAGGCGTCAATAGCGGTAATCTGACCGTGGTTGCTGTTAATAACGGTGAGTTGTGTGATCTTCCGATCGCTTCACACACGATTTCGCCGAAATTAATTAAAACAATATTAAAAGGAATTTTGAATAAAATTAATGAAATAAGTTACAAACAAAAGTCCAGATATACAAAGAACACTTTTTATAGCCAGACAGTGTAATTACATGAATAATTTGCGAACTTCAGTATGGATTTGTTGACATGGTATTTCCGGTGTTACGTGCTCACAGTAATGTCTTTCCATGGGGGGAAAAACATCAAAACTTCTTAATTCGTGTATAATGCGCCCTGGGCCCTTAATGGGTCGAATACGGTATTCCTAATCTTCCTGCCATTGGCATTTAGTTTGAAATCCTAGATAAATCCCTAGTGGCTGAAGTCATAGACTGCACAGGTCCTGATTCCCTGATAATACAGATATGGTATCTCAGTGATCATTATGGGTCTATGGAAAAGGATATGACTTGATGACAATTAATGCTAAGTTCTGAATTATGACCCAACTATTGCATGAATGCTCCCTTCCTTGGCATGGGTGTTTTACTGTGAAGTTAGTTCATGTAGAACGTCTACCCTTTGAAAGGTGACAGCTCCACTGTACTGTTTTATGTCTTCGTTCTTCACTCACTCTTCTGTCTCTCTGTCTCTCTCAGTTCTAACTGTAGTGGGTATCATGGCACCAATATGGTGAATTTTGAGCGTGCTCTTGCTGACAAATCGCTGGCCAGGATGAGGCGTACCGACTTGAAGGCGTACCTTGTTCATTTTGGCCAGGACATAGATGCCATAACTCGCAATCAGAGGAGAGAACACGGCATGTAAGTCAGGGTGGGAACGTCTCCTATTGGAGCTCCCAGCATATTCCGTTCTTTCACTTCTTTATGTTTTTGCATTTCATGAGGAGATTGTTCAGTGCTAACAAGTTTTTGTTTGCCTTGATACTAACCAGATGTTTTTTGCATTGATTATGACAAACAATATTCAGCCCTGCTTGAGAAAGTAGGCGAATTAAGTCGTCTATGATGTATGTCTGTGAATATATACAGTGCACCAACATTAATCTGGATTAACAAATTTTCTGGTTAAAGAATCATGAGTACCGAGTAATGTCGATTTGTTTACATGGAAGTGTTTAGCAGTAATTGTCTGGAAGGATGGGTTTCAGGATTAATGGGGTGCAGATTAACAAGGTTTCTCTATACAGCTAAATATGACATCATTGTGCTTATTAGATAGGAAATATATTATAAAGGTTTATCACATCATTGGCAATATTTCAGACATGATGGAATCTTGGAACAGATAGAATAAACTCATCCTTAATGTTTATGGCAGCTTTGTTAATTATTCCTGGTTAGTTGGGAGATGCTGGTATATACATGGTCAACTAGATATAAGTATTTTGTTTTCAAGCTTGTTTGTACGTGAATAAATGTGTGTTACCATTGTTTGTTTATTTTCCAAAATGTCCATGCTGTTGACTTGGCTTTTTCAAGTTAGACAAGACCTAGGTATGAGAGGTGAAATTTCACTTTCAACACTGCAGTTTGTCTTTTCTGCTGATCTGGCCATAATGTGTGACTAAAGAAAGTAAAAGACCACTCTATTCTTTCATATTAGTGAATGGGCGGTTGGGTAGTCTAGTGGTTAAAGCGTTCGTTCATCACGCCGAAGACCCGGGTTCGATTCCAGACGTGGGTAAAATGTGTGACGCCCATTCTGGTGTCCCCCGCCGTGATATTGCTGGAATATTGCTAAAAGCGGCGTAAAATCATACTTACTCACTCACTTATATTAGTGACATAACTATAGTTAATCTGTCACGCCATAAGGACCTCATGATTCTTTCATATTTCTATAGGCATGACAGATTAACTGTAGTAATATGAAAGGTTCGGGTGGTCCTTAACTGTTTTTCAATATTATATGTATCTACAGTTTTCTTATATGTAATATTCATCTAATGATGCTCCCAAATTAAACCACTCCTTGTTGGTGAATATTGATTGGTTTCTTTTAGTTTACATGCAACCAAAAAGCCTTGCATTATTTATGAGCGATGCAACTATCAAATACCATCTAATTGTTGCCTCCTCAGTTTCAACCAGCAGGATGTCACTGACTACTACGCCACATCACGACAGTGCGGAGGGAACCACACTCTAACCTACCCCCACAAGAGGGTATCTCGCATGACGCAGATGAAGTAAGTTTGAGCAGATGAATTTTGAAATGCACATTTAACGCCATCTGACAGCCATAGTACATTGCAGTATGACTGGTTATGAGGTGTTGTAGACAAGGTATAATGTGGCAAGCAGAGTTCCAGATAACGTTTTGAGCAATTGAGTTTTAACTCTAGGGTTTCTATTTTAATTGCGTTATTACATTTTTCATTGGGTAACCAATATTTTTTCTCTCATCTATTCATCACTCTATTGGGTATTTCCCCCGAAGAGTGAACATTTTAAGATTTAAAAAAAACATGTAATAATGGTTTAGATGTATGTAACCATGATAACTGTACTAAATATACAGCCTTGACTTGGAAAGTAAACTAGCTCGTTATTGTGTTTCGGAAATTGACTCCTTTGTATGCATGCTGAAAAAGCTTCATGCGTTTTTGTACGCAAGTTAATTGAAAGTAATTGGGTTTTATTTTACGCAAATAAGCAACTTATCTGTAGCTCTGGGCCAGTGAAATATTTTGTTTTCATTCAGTAGATTTTCTCAAGACATTTTGGGCATTGTGTTCATTTCATTACAAGACTTTTCAACTAAACATGGTAATTTTGGCTTTACATTGTGAAGTGGGATACCTTACCAAAATTTGTGTCAGTTGTCAATTGTGTCCACATGACACTTGAATTAAAATTTTTTATTAAATGAATTACTCCCCTGTGAACATATGTGTGCTTGTTGTGGCAAATTTGTAGAAGATAGTTTTTGAGAGAATATTGGAAACATGGGCCTGGGATTTAGTTTTTTGAAAATAATAATCTGTTCCTGAAAATGTTTGAAAAAAGAAATTTCTCCTCAGGTGTTTATTAAAACAACAACAACAACAACTATTCACAGGACATGCTGGATGTTCTCAGAGTATACTGTGTTGTGGGTCCAAACACTTGTTGGATTCCTCCTTGTCAGCCTTAAAGCACTGTGAAACCTCTAACCTGTCTGCGACTAACAGGATCGGGTGGTCAGGCTCGCTGACTTAGTTGATGCATGTCATCGTATCCCAATTGCGTGGATCGATGCTCATGATGTCAATCACTGGATTGTCTGGTCCAGACTCGATTATTTACAGACTGCTGTCATATAGCTGGAATATTGCTGAGCGCGGCGTTAAATATCAAACAAACAAACAAACTCAAACACAAGTCCTGTCGTATGGTTATGGTGAGACAACATGATGGCTCACACCTGTGTATTTTCAGCAATCTGTTCAAGGAGGATGCCGACCCTGCACCGGCACCAGTGTACCCTATCTACAAGTAAGTTTAGCCAGGTGCTCACATACCCTGAGATTCCTCGGCATAATGTTTGGTTTTAGTGCAGATTCAATCATGGAAGGGATGGGAGAAGGGTTGGCGCATCTGACACCAGCAGGTTTCTCTACATATCTATGTCTGCATATGTATCTTCGTATCAACATATTCACTTCATTACTTTATAATTCTTTACCTACTTTTACTAGTTTTCTGTAGTTTCTTTTCCTTTCAAAGAAACAGAATTTTATTATACATAAGCAGTATTTCTTGTCATATTTTTGATACAATCCCAAGTGAGGACTTATTTGAGTTGTATATTCTTAGCTCTAAGGCCACGTAACTGAGAATTAGATTTCCACCCATTTCAAAGAAAATGGAGGTGAGAGGCATTCTATTATTGTCTTTTAAAGAGTAAACATATTCTGTTTTTTTTTAGCAATCTGTTCAAGGCATTGGTGTACATTAACTGTCAACAAATATGATTCACATGAAGCATGTATGTTTGATAGGACTATGTTAATGGTCTGTTTCATCAGGTAGAGAAGAAGGGAACTTAGGGACTTTCTTCGTCTGTAGGTACATGGGACAATAGAATTATGGATTGCAGGCAGGGATGAAAATCAAATAAATTGTTATCAGGCACATAGCTGGGGTATGGTAGATGTGGGATGGAAGCTGTGTCAAGCAGTGTTCACCAAGTTGAAAGTTTCAACATATTACCACACTTTAAGAATTGTCAAACAAACTGATAATTTCAATCAACTATGAATTGTTGAAATCATGCTGGAAGTTCAATATTGTCATTACAACTATGACATACCAGACACATTTTGAAGATATCTGAATACACTGCAAGAAGTGGTTTTGTAGTATCCTACATCAGGAGATCTGGGGTAGAATAGGTCTTCAGCAACCCATGCTTGCTGTAAAAGGCGAATATGCTTGTCGTAAGAGGCAACTAACAGGATCGGGTGGTCAGGCTTGCTGACTTGGTTGATGCATGTCATCGATCCCAATTGTGTGGATCGATGCTCATGCTATGTATCACTGGATTGTCTGGTCCAGACTCAATTTTTTAAAGACCGCCGTCATATAGCTGGAATATTGCTGGGTGTGGCGTTAAACAACAAACCAACCAACCAACCTACATCAGGATATGTCACTCGTCATTCTGTCAACTTTCAGATTATCACTCTTGAACAAGAGGGACCAGCTTTCCATGTTTGCTTGAAGCAAATTTGTCAATGATTTTATCATAGTTAAGTGTGAGTGGCATCCTTGTATATGCTGCATTGTCACCAGTGTGACTAAACACTTGCAGATTTTGGGGGTACCGTACATGATTTGTGACAGGCACTTGCAAAGGACGGACCGTAGACCATCTTGTTTTCCAACTCAAAATCTGTTACTGCTTACTTCAGCAGCAACTCATAACTTGTCGCCTTACTTGTGTAAGAATTGTTTAACTGTGCACTGAGTGTCACGTCAAGCTCTGTGTTTCTAGGGAGGAAGTGGATGTGCAGGGAGTGGACGGTCACATCTACCGTGGCCGAGTAGAGCGGATGCAGATTGAGGCTAAGATGCCATCCAAGATTTCACCACAACAGTCCAATCAGGTAGAGTCTTGAACTAATATAATGCATATATTACAATATTTGAGTTTTCTTTCATGCAGGACCTGAGAATAGAATAGGTCTTCAGCAACCTATGCTTAAAAGGCGACTATGCTTGTCGTAAGAGGCGACTAACAGGATCGGGTGGTCAGGTTCGCTGTCTTGGTTGATGCATGTTAATTGCGTGGATCAATGCTCATGATATCAATCACTGGATTGTTTGGTCAAGGCATGATTATTTACAGACCGCCGTCATATAGCTGAAATATTGCTGAGTGTGGCGTTAAACAACAAACAAACAACAACAATCTTCCATGCAGCATGTACCAGTAGTATAACCTATTTGTGCCATCTCAAATGCTTTATCCAGAAGACTAGTCTGTCATATAATCAATTGTAGGAATTTATTTGATATAAGTAAGAAGACATCTCTCAATGACGATCCTTGGCAATGAATTTCATGTTTTAATAACTTCTATAATTATGTTCTATGCATACATGTATACATCACTGCTTGAATTATGGTTATTATGATCAAATAGTACCAAATTCTGTCCAATGTTTGTCCGTGCACTATTGTAGGTTGCAGTATATTTGTGAACTGTGACTTTCTACCCTAGCTCTTCCTTTTTGTCTGCTGTTGATGTAAGACTTGCCTGGAATATCTCATTCTTGTAGTGTTTTGATTCGTGTCTGCCTAACGTTAACTAATATTGGTGTATAACACGAACACATTTGTGACTACAGGTCGCCCCTATATCACCTGCAACCCCAAGAACTCTGCGTAAAATACCTGGGCTGGAAACTGACCCTGTCAGAGGATCTCCCACCCCTCCCACTGGCATGAGAGGACGACCAATGTCAGCCCGAGGATCAGCATCTCCCAGACCTGTCTCAGGGCGAGTTCCATCAAGGCCACAATCTACCCAGCCAACGTCAGCTGCGCAGTCAGGCTTGGAGTTGTCCAGAACAACAACGCCCTACCAAGAGGACCCTATGCTACAAGATGGCGGCCCAACAGATCAAGGGCAGATAACTGTGGAGTCTGAAGCTATTCGGGTTGATGTTCCTACACCTGATATGATGGAGGAACAGACAGAGGGTTAAATATCAGGGATGTATCTTGTGCTGTCAGTGTGTAGATAGGATACATACTATGTAAGTTATTGAATCATCATCTGGTTTGCTATGAATTTATCATTTTGCATGATGCATTTGATCAATGGTAGCACCCTTCTGCTATACTAAGACTATGAGTCTATTGCAATATTTTCGTTTTAATATGGAAAATTATTTTGATTTTTAGGAATTTTGATACAGTAACAGGAAAATAATCATCAGATTTGATCTAGTAATTTTCTTCATAAAAGGATGAAAAGCTTTATGAGGGTAATTTCGGCATATATTTTGTAAATCTTGATCTGATGAAAACTTAATTGAATATTTTTTTTAGCTTTTTTTTTTAAGATGTAAATCATTTTTTATTTTTGATGGCTCCATGAATACTTGGTCAGTGTGGAATATTCCAGTCGTAGAATATCTACTGCAATAAAGGACATACTCGTAATCAAGGCGGACTCGTGAAATGTACATGCAATATACAACCTGAGTGACAATTAGTTGTAGTGAAGTGTGATCAAGAAATTGATACTACTGCGTGTGTTTTCAAACAGTATTCAACTTGTATGCAATGGTAGGTATCGTAATCATTAGTATTTATCTATTTCATGTTTTGTTCTGTTACCTTATTCTTTTGTTGCTATGATATGTGCAATCTGTTTATATTCAGCTATGATATAGTGTTTCTTGAGTTTGATATTCCTGAGAGTATTATTACTTGTTTCCATTGCTATTTGTTTCTCTCTGTTTTCCTTCATATTTCTGAGTATATCTTGTTTTGAATTTTTAAGACCAAGAAAGGTCAAGTTGGATGACCTGTGCCAAAAGAAAGACATGTACAAATGTTTCTGTGATAATCTTTTGGTCAGACAATATTTTGTTTACCCATTGTCCCTTTTATGCATTATTTGTTGAGCTTTTGTACTGAATCTTATAACCAGATATTTTAAGTCACTTAAATTTGATCAGATGAAGTCATTTGTTGATTTTTGTCAGCCCACAACATACAAATGATATTTCTTTTAATATGTCCTGTTGGAAACTTTGAGAATATCAATATTCATGACTGAAGATCAAAGATGACAGAGATGGGCCGCCATGGTATGAGCTTGTCTTGCTTGGGATGAGGCTGCTGAGTAGTCAAGTCAGAGTCATCACTGAATCTGTTTCACCTCTTGTGTTGTTTTATGTCCCATTACAGAATTAGTTTGTTTGTGTGTATCTCTAGTGTATTGTATATATGGACAAAAAGACATGTGATAGGAACTGGCCACTATGCAACCAGAGACTGTGATACTATTGCATATCGTGTTGATTATCAGCTTTGTACATGATGGGTTTAGTATGTGCTTACTTGGATAGAACTAAGTCTAAATAATTACTAATGACTTGAAATACAAACAGGTGGGGTGGGGTGGTCTTCTTGTTTATGGAGGGTGAGGGGGAGGAGAAAGTGGTCTGCACTGTGTTGCCCTGAATTACCCAAGTCGCCCCAATGTAGGTGCAGATGCCAGTGGTACTCACTGTTCATGACGAAGAGCACACATGAAATATATATCAAACATTGCTAACTTTACAGTAGTTCATCAACCATGTTGCAGGGTTGTTTTACCTACCTACCTTTTTTGATTTTTAATCATCAAAACTACAAAATTATTTTTATTAGGCCTCATGTGGAAGATTGGCTGCACCAGTGCCCGAGAACAATGAATATTTGTTTAGCCTTAGATCCTAGGTTAGACCTAAATAATCATTACAACAGAAGAAGAAACACAAGACATAAACCAAGGCTACAGTCATCGCCACCACTGAGATACATTTGGAGATCAACCCAGTCGTAATGTACCAGTTAATAGAGGATATTAAGGAGTGTTCATATGAGCATGGAACCACAATTTGTTAAATGCCGTCAACAAGCTTCAGATATGACATCGTTTCTAGTGTGACATCATTCCCACCTCACGTCACAATAAGATTCGAATGACGTCAACAATGCAGTCCAGATGGCGGAAACAATACACTGTTGTCTCATGATGTGATATGACCCTAGCGCACATATGATTTTTATGTTTGCCCTCGTAGGTAATAATGTGAGATATGATCATCTCTTAAAATTGTCTTGATTGCGCCGAATGGACCAGGTTTAATACATGTGTGTGAGATGTCTAGTTTACATATATGTATTTGTTTGAGTGTGAGAATTGATTGACTATGAAACTGGTACAAAGGTTTGGGAAAATGATCATGATTATGATCAATGATTCTTTTCAGTAGCCAATGAAAGATCTTATAACATCATAAGAGACATGTCCAAACTGTGAAGATGTTAGCATTTACTAACCACATTACAATCAGATCGTTTATTCTGATTCAAAACCCTTTTTTCATAAACATTTGACAAACCCTCCATATAAACATTACAAAACTGAGAGTTTGAAGTAAATGAAAGAGATTATATGCACACCCAACACTGATTATCTGTTTGAAAGAGTTCATGAAGTTCTTCTTTGGTTTGGAGTCTGTGAATCAGTGTATTTTGGACTGCATTAATTTCATTGAGCTGCTTTTGTAAGTGAGAACTGCTGCACGGTTATACTGTATAATCCAGATTAATTTATTGTCTAGTTTTACAGACAAGCCTACCTTTTTCACAAATAATTAAAAAAAACTGTTGTTGACTGAAACTATGCTTTTTTGACGTCTTCAAGTTTGTACATTTGTCAAAAAGAAATATCAAAAGAGTTTGGTTGTTTTAAAGGACATTAACCCCATGTGAATCCTGACCAAGGACATATGTAAAACAAGACATTAGATTGGCCTGACATTCTTGTCCATACAGGGTTTGAGGTACTGTTATGTTGTTTTTGCAAATATCCTTGTCATTGTTTACCTTGCCGACAGTGGGAAACTGCCATGTGTGTGGAGAGTAGTCTGGCCTTGCATGTTGCACTGGCTGTCATAGTGACTTATATGCATGCTTATTTCTGAGGTGAAACTAAATTGTTTTAATCAGCATCAGATGATCTGCAAAGATGAAGCTGAAAAGATCTTGTGGTACCAATGTCCTGCCCCTTTTTGTTTGAACTGACACTATACATTTTATAGCCATTTTTGTGGAATAAATGGCCATAGTATCTAATTCCATTAGGTCCAGGAAGTGTATTGAGTTACCGGTACTTTCTTTCGGCATTTTGTCCTGGAAGTTTGAAAACAAGGGTTGATGACTCGGAGCTCATTTTTGTGTGATGGCAATACACACCTTTAATTCAAAAGATATAAATAAGTTATGACACATTAGACTTGAAAACAAATCATTAAAGGGACGGTATAAAATAGGAACCACAACGTATCTTTTCAGGTCTGACATTTTGTTTTATTTCAACATGGGTATTAAAATAATGAGGGTGCCAACCCCATTTTTGTATGTTGGATGTCAAGCCCTGTTTAGTTGTATTCCAGAATGTTTATCTGGTACAAGGGTGCCAATATTTCAATCTTGAAATATATTTTTCGACTTTCTGTCTTGCAAAGAGTTACAAATCAATAATATATGCTACTCAACATTTGCTAAGGATCACACCTGTAAAGATGACTGTTGGTCCTTAGCAAATGTTGTGTAGTATATTTTTAGCCCTAAGGTAATGAGCATTCACGGTCATGCATTCTGTGTGAAAATCCCAGTCTAATCTACTTGTACCAGCTGTGTACGCTGGTATGACTGAAGAACTCAATGCCAAGATAAATAAAGTGGTATGCCGGATGTCTAGAGAGGATTGGCGCCCTCAGTAATGTGTGATGCAGCATACCAGTAGGTCGATGAATTGTTTATATCAGCATTATAACACTACTGATGAAGTCATAGAGTTTTAAGCTTTAATACTTATCTTGAGATATTTATCAGCATTTGTATTTAAGTTGAGTATCTCAGCATTTGATTGTTGTGTAGGCATTTTACAACAGTTTGTTTTCTGTAGGAACATCATTCTTGAATCAAAACTATAGAACCAAACTGTGTTATAGCCAAAGAAAATGGTATTTTTATTTTGAAAATATATTTTTGTACAACCACTAATCTTGTGCTGCTGTATATTGTATAATGGAAGCAGCTGTTAGATCTCCTGCATGTTCTTTGCAAACTTATGCCAGAAATGTTCATTTAGTATAATGCTTCAAGACAAGGTACCAAAAGTTTGATTTGTACCCTGGAAACAACATCTTTGTTACAGGAATGTGTTTTGTGAGTATCAGATCAGTAACATTGAAACTCTCTGCTTATACCTGGTTTGCAGGGATCTAGAAACTGACACAATAAATATTTCTCACTCTTCTTACCAATGTTTTTGTGTTGGCATTTCAAGTCGATTTTCTATCAGTTAAGAGATTTACATGAAACCTCTTCTATTTGCATAGTATAAAATGAAGGGGGTAATTTCAAGGTGATGCCTACTGTACCAGCATAGTACAACCTGTAGAGGGTAATTTCAAGGTAATGCCTACTGTACCAGCATAGTCCATCCTGTAGAGGGTAATTTCAAGGTGAAGCCTACTGTACCAGCATAGTCCAACCTGTAAAGGGTAATTTCAAGGTGATGCCTACTGTACCAGCATAGTCCATCCTGTAGAGGGTAATTTCAAGGTGAAGCCTACTGTATCCTCATAGTCCATCCTGTAGAGGGTAATTTCAAGTTGAAGCCTACTGTACCAGCATAGTCCATCCTGTAGAGGGTAATTTCAAGGTGAAGCCTACTGTACCAGCATAGTCCATCCTGTAGAGGGTAATTTCAAGGTGAAGCCTACTGTACCAGCATAGTCCATCCTGTAGAGGGTAATTTCAAGGTGAAGCCTACTGTACCAGCATAGTCCATCCTGTAGAGGGTAATTTCAAGGTGAAGCCTACCGTACCAGCATAGTCCATCCTGTAGAGGGTAATTTTAAGGTGAAGCCTACTGTATCCGCATAGTCCATCCTGTAGAGGGTAATTTCAAGGTGAAGCCTACCGTACCAGCATAGTCCATCCTGTAGAGGGTAATTTCAAGGTGAAGCCTACTGTATCCCCATAGTCCATCCTGTAGAGGGTAATTTCAAGGTGAAGCCTACTGTACCAGCATGGTACATGAATGGGTAATTTCAAGGTGAAGCCTACTGTACCAGCATGGTACATGAATGGGTAATTTTAAGGTGAAGCCTACTGTACCAGCATGGTACATGAATGGGTAATTTTAAGGTGAAGCCTACTGTATCCCCATAGTCCATCCTGTAGAGGGTAATTTCAAGGTGAAGCCTACTGTACCAGCATGGTACACGAATGGGTAATTTCAAGGTGAAGCCTACTGTACCAGCAGAGTACATGAATGGGTAATTTCAAGGTGAAGAATACTGTACCAGCATAGTACATGAAAGGGGTAATATCAAGGATTTAAATGGAGGGGGGTTCGCTCAGTCACAATGATGCCACCCCTTACAATAACCGACCAACCGACCACGCCTATCAAAGAAGTGCAAAGTGAATCGGGTGGGACTCTTTTGAAAACATGACATGTGACCAACGACGCTAACCCCACTTGACGACTGTTGGCAATATGACGATTTGTGAGTGTCGGCACAACACGTGGCAGTCGAGCATGGAGATGAGCTGCATGTAGACGATTTCTAATCGTCTGACCCGTAACTCGTACTCAATGATGAAAGTTTGCAGCAATTCGCCGTTTGAGCTCGATTTCGTAGAGCCTGGTTTCGGATCAATCGATCCTTTACTCTCGTCTTTAACCCGAGAATCACTGAACCGGATCGATCGTCAACGTCTTTGGTCTGTTGGTACCTGTTCCCTTGTCTGCTAATAACAGACCGGGAAACATTGCACGTATTGGCCACTGCACTCTTATTCCAAACAGTTTCCAGCATGCCCGTGGACGCTCCGCGAGTTACAGACGCCGCGTCGCTCGTTCTTACACAAACAAGGAATGAAATCAAGTAAACCACAACTGTATGATAAGCAGAATCAATAAGATTGACAGAAATACTGTTCCACAGGGATTAATCGACCTGCCTTGAAGGTGTTCAACTCCGGAATGACATCACTCGCTCGTGCGTGGCGCTACTGCAGGAGGCAAATGCAAACTACAGGATGTATTTTGGTGTTAGTTCTACCAGAGACCATATAATATCTATTATATGGTCTCTGGTTCTACAGACATAAACATTCTTGCCTAGGGTCTTTGTCGTCAACAGTTATCTTTGTTATAATACTTGGTAAAAACATTTATAGTTCATGATCCCCTACCTTTTTTAAGGGTATATATGAAGGAGCCTGAAGTAAAATGTCGCCTGACTGTGATTTCCAGATCATAACTTGAAACGTCGAAGATGGAATCTGTCTTTTAGGGCTGGAACGAGTCCAAATTTACTACCCGGGTACCCACTACCCTATTACCCGACCCTACCCGGGTACCCACTGTAAGTCTCCGGAGATGTCTCAAAATGTCCGATTGAGAACATTTTGAACATAGCCCTGGCAAAACGTATTTAGATACATGTATTAAACAATCTGGTCATTCATACACTGAAGCTGAATTAAGTTGTATCTTTATTCAACCATATGAAAATTCAGAAGGTATGGGTGCATAGTCAGAAAGAAATGCGAACATTAGTGACTTGTAGTGTAACCATAGAGTTCTGGATATTTTTTGTCATTAAACAATATATCACGTGACTAACGATGGGTCTGGGTAGTCCTGTCGGTACCCGGGTCCTACTCAGTACCCACCCGACCCGGGTACCCGAGTTACCCGTCACAGCCCTACTGTCTATTATTAGTTACTCAAAAATGTGGTTTGATAGCCAGGCAAACAGTGAACGTCAGATACGTTTTATATTCTATTTTAATCTAATGATAATTAAAGTCACCAAAGCGTCAGTAAAATCTAAAAAGAGCCAGTCTGGTTTGGAATTTTGTTTTCCGAGGTACGGAAGCAAGTCGTGCAAGGCGCCGCACCAAGCTGTGAAGAGTTGTGTTCCTCTGTGCAAGAAACCTACTCGTATGATCGTGGGTGCCATTATTCCCCGTTGCCTCCCAATGATACCATTATGCGTACATGTGTTTGTTTCTAGAGAAAAAGCGTCACCCGTAAATAGTCGTGCTTTCATTACTTAAGTTATACTTATCCTGTGATGTTGGCAGGAATGCACGTATTGTTTTGTTTGTTTGTTTGTAACACCGCACTCAGCAATATTCCAGCTATATGACGGCGGTCTGTAAATAATCGAGTCTGGACCAGACAATCCAGTGATTAATATCATGAGCATCGATCCCGCAGTTGGGATACGATAACATGCATCAAGTCAGCGAGCCTGACCACCCGATCCGGTTAGTCACCTATTACAACAAACATAGTCGCCTTTGTATGGCAAGCATGGATTGCTGAAGACCTATTCTCTACCCGGATCTTCACGGGTCAGGAATGCACGTATTTAAGCCCCTCCGTATATTTAGCTCATATAAACGCAAATTTTCTTATTGTTTTTATCAATGGGCTTAGATTAATAAATAAGATTCGAGCAATTCCCTCTAGCGGATGTTTCGAAACACATGGAATGTGACGGTATTATAAGAATATCATATTCTGAAATGAAATGGAGTCATCGGTCGCGTTTGTATTATTTACGTTCTAAACCCCAGCGCTTAATGTTGGATAAAATATCCGGTCCGAAATGGTGATAAAGCCCGAGTTTAGGCCCTGGGCTTTAATACTTCCGTGCCTGAAATCAAAAGTTCTTATCTCAGAGAGAGATCGGTATACAGGAATACGTAGATAGGGGAATTAACTCTTGCAGCCTTCTATAAAATCATTACGCGACTGTGCAGTCGGATCGTTGAACGTTATAAGTGAAGCTAACGTAAAATGATAGTTGATCTCGCTATTTCACGAGTCGTGTTCATCGGCAGCCCCGTGAGGGATTTATTTGTAACGAGAATGTTCAACATAGCGGACCAACGGTAACTCCAGGAACAGGCTAACCTTGTTGACTCAGGTCTAAACAAACAATTTGAGGAGTTTTTTTCCAATTGGTAAAGGCTTCAGATTTTCATTAATCTCGATAGACGACCATGTTCCTGGGTGCTTGGTTGACCCTAACACGTCCCAGGGTGCAGTTGACTGACAATGACCCAGACATGCTGTAGTTGAACAGTTGATGAAACAAAGGATTTGGCAAATATTTCAAGTCATGCACAGTTAATTCCGAATATGACGAGGTGAGGTTATGTGAAATGGGTTTTAACGTCGCGTTCAACGTTATTGTACTTGCATAGCGATGTGATTGCGCGCGCGATTGCGATATCATGGCGCAGCTAAACATTAATACCCAACTCAGACACAGTATTATTTTACTGACTCCGAGCCGACCAGTCCTTGTTTAATCCCCTGATGCCGAGCGCTCGCCAGGGTAACAACAAGTACCATCTTTAAACGTATTTTGGTATGACGCGGCTAGGGATCGACCAGGGAGGTGGATGTTACTAAGTGTGATGACGCTGATATTGTCCGTTATACCGAACCCAATGCTACTCCACTAGGAGTGGTAATATATGTTCATGATTAACTTCGGACATAACGAACTGAATTTGAAGGTTTTGTGCAGTGCGGTTCTTTCATATTAGTGCCAATCGGTCCTGTATTAAACTTCGTGTATTTCTGTGTTGTACAGTGTGTACAGTTTCTACATTTCTATTTCCTTTCATTTGACAGTTTTCCCATTTCTGTACACCTCTGAACATGTAGTTTTCCCATTTTTGTACACCTCTGAACATGTAGTTTTTCCATTTCTGTACACCTCTGAACATGTAGTTTTCCCATTTCTGTACACCCCTGTACATGTAGTTTTCCCATTTCTGTACACCTCTGAACATGTAGTTTTCTCTTTTCTGTACACCTCTGAACATGTAGTTTTCTCATTTCTGTACACCTCTGAACATGTAGTTTTCCATTTCTGTACACCTCTGAACATGTAGTTTTCCCATTTCTGTACACCCCTGAACATGTAGTTTTCCCATTTCTGTACACCTCTGAACATGTAGTTTTCCCATTTCTGTACATCTCTGAACATGTAGTTTTCCCATTTCTGTACACCCCTGAACATGTAGTTTTCTCATTTCTGTACACTTCTGAACATGAAGTTTTCCCATTTCTGAACGACTCTGAACATGAAGTTTTCCCATTTCTGTACACCCCTGAACATGTAGTTTTCCCATTTCTGTACACCTCTGAACATGTAGTTTTCCCATTTCTGTACATCTCTGAACATGTAGTTTTCCCATTTCTGTACCACTTTGTAC